TCAGCAAGAAATGTGCTAGATTAAATGCAAGTTTTTTGTGTAGATTATTTTATTGATTCAATTAATAATCCTTGCATTTGATTTAGCGCTTTATCACTTCGTTGACAAGTCTCAAGGCTCTTCTCTGGATTTGGTGCAAAGTGTATTGACTGTATTTCTAGGCCAATGCAGCAACGCATTTACACAGCAATGTACCCCCAGAGTCATAATTTTAAACAAATAATTTTATCTGGAATATCTGTTGGCCAGGAACTGGGAGCTTTTGTTTACATGTTTTTTGTATATAAAGGTAAAGCAGAGCCAACATGAGTATATTCTTTCCCCAGATTTCTGAGATATTCTACAAGAAAACACTGAATAAATATAGTAGAACCTCACTAATTTGGTCACTCAAGGTCTGGGTAAAAGTGACCTGCTTAGTGAGGTGATCTGATTACTGAAACGGGTCGGGTGATTCAGGTCAACTGATGTAATGTTAAGGCCATTGGTAATGGGCAAGGGGCATGAACATTCAACAACCATACTTTGCAATCTCATCATTAAAATAAAGGCATTGTCACATTTAAAACAAAAGCTGTCATGTATTCAGCCTTCCTTTTGAGAATGCATCCAACTTGCCAAAAGTACTTACCAAAAATTGGCGGGAGGAGCTCAGGTTAGGCTGTGGTCGCCGGGCACACTGTATCCACAGTAGCAGTGTTGAAGAAACGGCGTGAGAAGCCCGAGGACTAGCGCACTGTGTACTGTACAGGTTAGTAACGGAGGGCGGGTATTTGTACCGCGTTTGTACCGGAGGAGGACACTGTAGCGACCGCAATCAATGACCGTTGGCCTGAACAGTGAGGAGCCTGGTTTACTGAAGCAGACAGACTATCTTTTAACAAAATGGAAAATACTGCAGATGCTGAAAATCTGAAAATCCCAAACAAAAGTTGCTGGGAACACTCAGCAGGTCAGACAGCATCTATGGAGAAAGGAAAGTGAGTCAACGTTTTGGATCTACGACCCTTCACAAGAACTGCGGCATGTTGGAAGGGAGAGGCTTGTAAGCACCAACAGAGAGGGGGGAGGTAGGGAAGGAAGGAAGACAAAGGAGAAATGGGGTATAGGACGGGATGTTGGGTTAAAGACCTTGAAGATTATTAATACCTCTTTAACCCATCATCCCCTGTCCTCTACCCCATTTTCTCCATTGTCTTCCTTGCCTCCCCCCTCACTGTTAGCCCTTAAAAGCCTCCCAACATGCCCCAGTTCTGACGAAGGGTCGTAGATTCGAAACGTTGACTTCACTTTCCTTTTTCCATAGATGCTGCCTGACCTGCTGAGTGTTCCCAGCGACTTCTGTTTTTGTTTTCAGCCTATCTTTTAACATTGACAATAAAAGAGACTGTGAAAATGTGCCTGCAATTGTGAGGTGGCTGGATTACTGAGGTGACCCAAACCAGGTTTCTACTATATACATGGTTTCAAGGAGAAACTGGATAAAACATATCGAGTTTTTCTTTGTTTGCCTTCTATTTGTTCAGTTTTAAGCTGTATTTATTTACTCATTTAAGCAATCCGAGATGCAACCCTACGTGAAGGACGCTATGTAAATGTGTCCTTCACGCATTTTACAAAACCGCATGCCTTGCTATCACTTCCTTCCCCTGCCTTCAAAATCTATCCAAAAGCACTGCTATTGAGATTTTGGTCAATGTCTCTAAAAATATCCTTTTCTTTTTCTATTCCCACCATTGTCAGTCGCTTTGAGATGTCAGTTGTTGTACTTGATATATTTTATATGCTATGAAGCAATGCCAATGCACCAACATTGAACAAGCACAATCGTCGCCAGAAGTAATCCATCCAACAACATTTTACCGTATTGCCTTTAGATGGACTTAATCTATGACAGCTGCCTGTATTACAAAAAGGTCATATTACACTTGATGTGTGTTGCCACGGGCACAATATTAAGCATTTCCAATGCTGACTGTGTGGAACAACTGTGGCTTTGCCAAGAATTTTAGAATAGATCCATTTTCTGCACAGCACAGTTGGATTTGCACCATCATATGCTTTTAGGTTATTTAACAACTCATTCCAGCTGTTGAAACATGTTACTTACTAATTGATAATACTCCATGAATGCCCATTAGCTATTTTTTCAGTGTAAAATTTAACGCCAAGGTCTTTCAAATTAACACGAAGTGTAACAGCCACTAAAAACACAGGTGACATCAAGAAAAACACTGCCTTGTACATACAATCTCTTTACTGCAGGCATTTGACATGCAACAGATATATTTTGTGATAACAAGCTGGTTTTTATATTTGTTTTCATCTAAACTGACATCTCAAAGCGACAGACAACGGTGGGAACAGAAAAAGAATAGGATTTTTAAAGACATTAAGAAGGGTGGGAGACCAAAATCGCAATATTAGGAATGTACTTTTGGATAGATATTGAAGGCACGGGAAGTGGTAGCAAGGCATGTGGTTTTGTAAAAGATTTTCATAGGACAATGGCATGGTGTCTGAAAGCTCAGACATTAATGGTGGAGCGGAAGGAGTGAGGAGCAATTAGCAGAACGGTTTCAGAAGAGTGGAGTCTATGGACCAGAAAAGAGAGCTAGGAGAGAATGCATTGTTAGGGTGGGGACAGAACATGGAGAAACAAATTGATCAGCTGAGGAGCTGCCAAGTTTCAATTGCAAATAAGAATTTACTTGAGGATACTACAGAAACGATTGTGTAACAAAATAGGGCTAATCAGCAACTGGAAGTTAAGGCTCCTGTCGGACAGAGTGATCATAACATGATGGAATTTAATATTAAGTTAGAGAGTGATATAGTTGAATCCGAAGCAAGGGTCTTAAATTTAAATAAAGCCAACTTTGCAGGTATGAGAGAAGATTTGGCTAAAATAGACTGGGAAATTAGATTTAAAATTATGACGGTAGACCAGCAATGGCAAAACGTTTAAAGATATAATACATAATTTCCAGCGAGCACATATTCCCTTGAAAAATAAAAATACCACGGGAAAAGTGGTTCAACCTTGGCTAACTAGAGAAGTTAGGGAAAGTATAAAATTCAAAGAAGAATACTGCCAAAAAGAACAATAAACCTGAGGATTGGGAGGGCTTTACAGATCAGCAAAGGAAAACCAAGAAACTGATTAAGAGGGGAAAAATGGAATATGAGGGTAAACTAGCTAGGAACATAAAGACAGATTGTAAGAGTTTTTACAAGTACATAAAAAGGGAGAGACTATCAAAAGTGAATGTGGGTCCATTGCAGGCAGAGAGGAGAAATTATAACGGGGAATAAAGAAATGGCAGAGTCATTAAACAAATAGTTTGCTTCTGTCTTTACGTTCGAGGACACTGAAAACTCACCGAAAATGGAGGGGAACTTGGAGTCTAACATTAGAGAGGAACTTAAAGAAATGAAAATCAATAAAGCAATAGTAGTAAAAAAAAATTGATAGGATTAAAAAATGATAAATCCCTTGAACCTGATGGCCTGAATCCTAGGGTTTTAAAAGAGGTGGCTGCAGAGATAGTGGATGCTTTGTTCTTGATCTTCCAAAATTCCCTGGATTCTGGAAAGGTTCCCAGTCATTGGAAGGTTGCAAACATAACGCCGCTATTTAAGAAGGGTACTTAAGAAGGGTGGGAGACAAAAAATGGGGAACCAATTAGTCTGACATCAGTGGTAGGGAAAATTCTAGAGTTGTTATTTAGGGACGTTGTCGTGACGTACTTAGAAAATCATAACATGATTAGGCAGTCAACATGCATTTACGAAAGGGAAATCATGTTTAACAAATCTTTTAGAGTTTATTGAAGATGTAATTAGCAGGTTAGATAGGGGGGAACCAGTAGATGTGGTGTATTTGGATTTCCAGAAGGCATTCGACAAGGTGTCAGATAAAAGGCTGTTGCATAAGATTAGAGCCCATGGAATTAAAGGTAATATATTAACATGGATTAGAGAGTGGCTAACAGGAAGAAAACAGAGTAGGGATGAACGGGTCTTTCTCAGATTGGCAGGATGTGAGTAGTGGAGTGGCACAGGATCAGTGCTTGGGCCTCAATTATTTACAGTCTATATCAATTATTTAGATGAGGAAATAGAACTTAACATATCTAAATTCGCAGGCGATACGAAACTAGGTGGGAGAGTAAGCTGTGAGGATGACACAAGAAGAATGCAAAGGGAAATAGACAGGCTAGGTGAGTGGGCAAGAAGGTGGCAGATGAAGTATAATGTGGGGAAGTGTGAAGTTATTCACCTAGGTAGTAAAAATAGAAAAGCAGATTATTTTCTAGAGAGGGAGAGACTAGGTAGTGTTAGTATTCAGAAAGATTTGCCATGTTGGTATTCATTGCAAAAGGGTTAGAGTAAAAGAGTAGGGAGTCTCGCTGCAGTTGTATAAGGCCTTGGTGAGACCGCACCTAGAATATTGTGTGCAGTTTTGGTCTCCTTATTTAAGAAAGGATATATTCACCTAGAGAGAGTGCAGCCTAGATTCACTAGGTTGGTTCCTGGGATGAGGTGGTTGACCTATGAGGATAGGTTGAGTAAACTAGGCCTATATTCTCTAGAATACAGAAGAATTAGAGGTGATCTTATAGAAACCTATAAGATTCTTAGGGTCTTGACAGGGTAGGTGCTGTGAGACTGTTTCCCCTGGTTGGAGAATCTAGGTGTCATAGTCTCAAGATTAAGGGTCAGCCCTATCGAACTGAGTTGAGGAAACATTTCTTCACTCAGAATTTGTGGAATCCTCTACACCAGAAGGCTGTAGATGCATATTCAAGACTGAGGTTAATAGATTTCTAAAGGATTGAGGGATTAAGGGACATGGAGATAGGGCGGGTAAATGGAATTCGGTTAAAAGATCAGCCATTATCTTATCAAATGGCAGGGCAGGCTCAAGGGGCCGAATGCTCCAAGTCTTATGGTCTTATGATATGCATCAACTGAAGATGAGCAAAACACAAGTAGAATTTCAGTTAAAAAAGCGTCTTTGTTTATATTTCAATAGAATTACAAATAATTCAGGCCTAAATCAAGTTAGCTACACACTCTTGTTGAAGTTGGAATAACACTCTGTTTCACATAAGTTCATTTTGGAGTGCATACATATCAGTCTGGATTGTTAGTGATTCTATATCTGGATTTCTTCTTCTATTTTCTGCTCATGTACAGATGCTTTTATGGCATGTGAAGCCAATCCTGCAGCTGAAACAAAACGAGACACTGAAGGAGTCTGCGTAGCTAGTATGGAAATAGATGGAGAAAAACTTGGTGCCATAGCTGAAGGAATAATGCTTGAGCTGTCAATAATGGGCGAATAAGAATATTTGGGGAAAGATGGATTAAATCTTATAATTGGCAATCGCGGAGGGACTGCCCTTATACCATGCTGTGCAACTGATGTTATCAATGGCGGTGGGATAATAAGAGATTTTGGTTCATTTTTCAAAGTTTGTTTTTGTAGATTCTCATCTTTCAGGTTTGCAATCTCAGTAAAGACAGAGGCTAAAGGTCGAAATCCAGGCTCCCATTTAAGCAAATAATCCCAATTATAGCTGCTTTGCAACTCTTCCTTTGCAGATACAAGGGATGTGAGAGATCCATTCAATGACGTCTGTCCATTTAATATGAAAATAAGCTCTTTGTTAGCGTCCAGCATGACAATATTTTCCTTTATTTCTGTACTCTTCAAATTCTTTGATAAAGGTTTCTCTACAACAAAATTTGTATCACGCCCTTCTCCTCCACCTTCATCCTTAAAATTATGAATGTTTTCTGTGTTACTGAAAGTCACAGTAGTAGAATTTGTTTCAGAAGATCGACACAATAACTGGTCTGATTCCCTTGGTATCCCCGAGTCTGGCACTCTGATTACCTCATGACTTAATACAGAGCTAAAATCCCCACAGCACTGATTACAATTAATCATCTTAATCTCTTCATCTTCAACATTTTCTCCTTCAGCAGAGCCTCTTCCACTTGAATCTGAATTTCTAGGATTAAATGATTCCTCCTTTTTAGAAATCACTCTTAAACTCAGCTGTTCTAGTGAACCGTCGAAGGGAGTCTTTCCGTCTTTATAATCACTTTTCACATCATGGTGAGCTAATGTTGCCGCTAGGTATCGGAGGCAATTTACATTTGAAATTACATTAGTGAATGTGAAATCCTTTTTATCTTTTCTTTTGGATCTACAGATTAGTCCAGTAAGGCATGCAGAGAACAGCAGGAATATGACAAATGAAATGGTGAGGCTTACAGTAATGTTTCTACTTGGCTCATCAACCAAGACGTCCCATGATCTGGAGACGTTAATTGCAGCAAAACTAATAGCAGATCTTGAGTGTGACACAGGACTGCTGGCTTTAATCACCAGCTCTATTACCTCTTCTCTCTTTTTGTAGCTGCCTTTAATCTTGTGAACAGCATCTGAAAGATAAACAACTCCACTTGTTTTGTTCACAGAAAAGAAAGGAGAAGGCTGAAGAAAGGAGTACTCCACAATTCCATCTATCCCAGCATCATTATCTATAGCAGTCACTTGTCCAGCTTTATGCCCCAACTCCACATTCTCAGAGAGTGTAAAATAGTAAGATTCTTGAGTGAAAACTGGTTCGAATTCATCAATGCCTTGAATATCCACCTGAACTGTTATAGTTGCAGTTGCGTTTCCTTTATCTTTGGCCTGGACTATAAACATGTATTTCTTTTGCTGTTCAAAATCAATAATTTCCTTTGTGTGGATGTCACCAGTCAGTGGATCAATACCAAAATTCTTCTCATCCTTTGGCATAGAGTCATTAATTGAAGGTGATGGCAGGATAGAGTAGGTTAATTGTCCAAATATGCCAGTATCATGATCTAGTGCATGAACTGCACATACTGATGTGTGGATAGGCTCATTTTCACGTACTGTACAGTTCAAAGTAGGAAAAGCAAAGTAAGGAATATTATCATTTTCATTCAATACATCGATGTAAAGAACTGAAAAGGCCATTTTCTGATTAGTAATACCACCATCGACCGCCTGGACAGTTAATATGAATTTGGAGATCTCCTCATAGTCTAGAGGTAGCCTTGATCGTACAAAACCTGTTTTAGGATCTATCTTAAAATGCTTTCTTTCATTTCCAGAAATGATCCTGTATGTGATATCTGCATTTACTCCCTGATCATGGTCATATGCCAACATTTCAATAAGTTTGCTTCCTAAAGGGATGCTTTCTGCAACTTCAACATGGTGCTCCAAGCTACTGAAAACTGGTGCATTATCATTGACATCAAGCACTATTATTGATATAACTGTGGTTGAATTCATTGGTGAAGTTTCTCGATCAGATGCACGGACAACTAAAGTGTAATTTTTCATAACTTCTCTATCTAGTACATTTGCTAACACCAGGTTACCTATCATCTGATAATGACTTTCTACATGACTCATTGAGTTTTCAATGTAGAATTGGTTTTGCTCATTACCTCCAATAATTGTGTAGTCAATGTAACAATTCTCACGTGCCCAATCTAGATCTGATGCTGAAACTGACAAGAGAATCACTCCAGGTGCTATGTCTTCATTAACACTGATATTATAAAGAGCTTGTGTAAACTGTGGAATATGATCGTTGATATCCTGAATGTATATCTGCGCAGAAGTAATGCTGGTCAAAGCTGGGTTCCCACCATCTCTTGCTTCTATCAGAAGCTGTATTACAGCGTTGTCAGTTGCATAGTAAAATATCCTGTGAGTAAATATTGCACCTAAAATCCAAAACAGAAAGGAAACAAAAACATAAGTCACGTAAAATACAAAATAAATTTAATAATTAACTGGTTTATCAGCCAATATTTTATTTAACATTCTCAAATGTATCAATATTAAAGAAACTTGCATTTATAGTTTTGGTACAATTTAGTTCAATCATCCAAGAGAAGGAAGGAATATGTTTTTATAGTGGATTATCAGACTAAAATCTCTCAAAGTGCTTTACAATAATTACTGTCAAGTTTCATGTAGGCAAAAACAGCATTACTTTTGTGCACAATTGTCAATTTGCACATTATTCCACAAACAGCCATGAGGTGAATGACCAATTGATCTGGAGGATTGTTGGCTATGACACCAGAAGAAATTTCCTTGATTTTTAAAAATTATTATTGGATCTTTAATGTAATTTTAGTGTTCAGTCTGATTTTGTTAGCATACCAGTCTCTGAGTTGATATAAAATCCCTGTGTAGCTCCCAGAAGAATCCTGTAGGAGAGTTGTCCATTTACTCCTGAATCTTTATCTGTGGCAGATACAGTCAGAACGTAGGAATTCATCGGTGTGAGTTCAAGTAATCCAATCTAAAATAAGATTATTCTGTAAATATAGTTCAGTACAAACAGACCAATGCAAAGCAATGTAAAAATGTAAGTGAGCAATATAGTTACTTATGTTCCTGCAGATTAATCTGGTTGTAATTTAGGGATATAGTGATTTATAGCTGGCACTGACCACCATTCAACCTGAACTCGTCTTTTTACTTCAAATCGGAAATCATTAATTAGAATTATACTTTTTATAAAACATAAGTGTTTTATCTCTATAAATTATTATCCAGCCTTTCATGGTTCTCTGGTAGAGTAATAATAATACTTACTTTTGATATAGCGCCTTATCACAGTATCCAGATGTTTCAAGCACTTCAAAGAATATATTTTCATAAAAATAAACATCCTTGCATTTTTTATAGGGCCTTTTGTGTAAGGAAAGCATTCCAAAGCACTTCACAGCATATACTGTAAAGTGACTGTGTATTTTGTGGACGAATGCAGCAGCCAATTTGCACATAGTGATGCCCCACAAACAGCCACGGAGTGAATGACTAATTTTTATTTGGTCATTCACTCACGGGGGGATTGTTGGTCTGCGCATCAGGAGAAATTCTCTTCTCATTTCGAATAGTGTATGTGATCTTCCCACTTAGGACAGGCAGAGGGGTCCTCAGTTTAATCTCTCATCTGAAATACGGCACCTCCAACACTGCATCCACAACCCCAACACTGCATTGGAATGTCAGCCTGGACTATATGAGTTCCAAGTCCTGACATGGGCTTGAACCCACAAACTTATGACTCAGAGACAAGAGAGCTACCAACTGAACCAGGTGGCACACAAAGTAAAATGTAAAGTAGTGTGACTATATGTGTTTGTGGGCAGGTATACACCAATAATTGTTTCATAAATTAAAACAGTGGAAAACCTGGTTAAACTGTATAACTTGGGATAAAACTTGGATATATATTTCATTGTGGTCTTTCATTTATGGTCTTTTATTATAATAAACTTAAAGTATTGTGATATATGGGTTACTAATGTAAAGGGCTCAGAGACGTTGTCTGGCTTGAAGGGAGTTATATAAATGCAAGTTATTGTTGTTGTTGTACTAAAGTGCACATTCACATCAGTGTTAAACAGCTGAGGCATCTCAATCTTCACCTAAATATGCTTTATAGTATACCATACACTCATAGGTAAGTACATCATGATATTTTAAGACATATTAATTATTTTAGCAATATTAAAAATGTTAATTTAAATACAATTTATTGCACACTACATGTAAGATAATGTACCTGTGTGGGTTGAAAAAAAGTAAGCTTGTGAATAAGCTGAAACCTGCAGTTGGTTATTGAAAATGGTAACATGAATAATGTTATGAATTTTCTTTTCAAATTATTTATAGTAGTTTTACCTGATATGTGTCTTGCGAGAAGAGAGGTGGATTATCATTGACATCCACTACAACAACTTTAAGGCTTGCTTCTGTTTCATGCACAGAATCAGAAGTTCTGATCCTCAACAAATATTCAGACTGTACTTCAAAATCCAAGGGTTGAGTCAAAGTGATAACTCCAGAGTACCGATCAATAGAAAATTTACCTCCTGGGTTACCAGCCTCAGTAAAATTGTATGAAAGAATTGTGTTTAGATCCATATCATTGGCTATTATCTGTACAACAACATAACCAGTCGGGAGATCTGAAAAGCACAAATAAATTAGACAAAACTCATTCCAATTATGCTAATATGTTGATAGTAAAGGCATACCATTATATTGTAAAGTAATTTAATAACATGTTGTTGAAGTAATGTATAGTGTTCTGTTGCTGCAAGTTACAAAATAGAAAATTGTGCATTTGTTGTATATCATCTCTTAACACTGGTCTAATTTTCAGATTGAGTAAAACATGTGTAACCATGTGTACAGAGTCACTACTCTCTAGTGAAGCTCTTTCACACATTCTCCTGATGTGAAAGGTGCTATGTCAAATGATTATTATTAATAATAATTACATATGTTCTCATAACTATGCAGTTAATCCATGAAAAATGTTTTACAGAATCAACTGGAATCATTTTTATTGATAGGTACATAATTAAGAACATCTGCTATCCCCTCTTTACTTGTGTTTACACAGATAGCATAAACCGCAAATCAGACCCTCTAATAGCTGTTCTTATGCATTTTGTCAGGAGTCTATTCCCACTCCTTTGCTGTAACATGTAAACACTAGTTAACTCTGGCAGCGATAGCTTGACAGTATTTTACTATATGCAGATACTACCCTGGGATGGATATGTTTTATTGTTACTTCGAGACTGTGAAAGACCAAACTCATTACATTACCACTACAGAAAGAAGGGATTTCTCTCTAACAAATTGTTAGAAATGTAACTGATGCTATATTCTAATTATTTTATAGGACAAGGTAATCCTAGATTTGATATAAATTCTGAGTTTGTTTCACTGTGTTAAAATTGAGCATTGTTTAACATGATTGTGCTTTTTTAAATTTATTTTAAGTGCCTTGACAAAATAGTTTTTTTTACGCCAAAGACATTCTCCTAATAATGTATTTTACATTCTTTCTGTATGTCCATCTAAAGTCATAAGAGTATGTGCAATTGCAATCCATTTTTGGTCCTTTTTTTTAAAATGAATGGTAATTGACTACTTTAATATGTTCCAAACATATGTCCTCATTTGGGTATATACAAGCAGTTATATTTGTTGCTTTTAAACAATAATCATAACGACAATATTCTGCTCGCTACAGAACTGCTACATAAACATCAAATGATTACCTAAGCATTCTGCTTTTTAAAATATTTTCAATGATCAACTAGCAAAACATAACACAAAATACTGCAGATGCTGGAAATCTGAAAACTAAAACAGAAGTCGCTGGGAACACTCAGCGGTTCTGACGAAGGGTTGTGGATCCAAAACGTTGACTCACTTTCCTTTCTCCATAGATGCTGCCTGACCTGCTGAGTGTTCCCAGCAACTTCTGTTTTTGTTTTCAACTGGCAAAACATTCCTGCTTCACAAAGCAAATAAAGGTTAAAAAATACACTGATTGTCACTCTGATCCGATTTACAGCGTGTACCAATAACCTCATTTTGAGACAGATGAGATTTTATTAGGATCTGCAGAATAACAAAGTCTCACGTGTAAAAGAAATTCATTATTGAACAAAATATCACCACTTTTTATGCTTCCATAAAGATCTGATATCAAAGCTTAACTTACTTTCAAAAATCTTCACAGTTTTCAACGGTGGGATCGTTGGAACATTGTCATTAATATCCACAACCTGAATCAAAATAGTGGTTGTTGCTGAAAAACGTGGATTTCCTTGATCAGCTGCCTGAACAATTAATCTGTTAACAGAAATGGGGATATGTAAAGTTTAAACTTAATAACTGCGCACCCCAAATTTGCTAAAAAAAAACATAAAATAGAAAAATGACCAAAACCACTATCTTACAGTGACTGAATAAGTCAAGTTCCGTAATTGTGATTTAGGATTGTTGAATTTGGGGGGATCGTATTCTAGGTTCAAGTGGCACTTAGGTTTTCTTAGTCACGGTATTAACTGTGGCATTTGTTTGGCATTGTATTACTGCTAAAACATTATGAAACAAATAACTCAAGAACCATGGCTGGTAGGAAAAAGAAAAGACTTTAAAAATTGTACTTTAAGAACATATCATTTATTTTTGGTTGTAAAATATGCAGTAATTTTACTCATGTTAGCGGCAATTGGGAATGGAATGGAGGACTGGAATTGCCAAGTGCTGAGAAGAGTGAGGATGAAGCTTTCAAGAGCAGAGTGTAAAACAACAACAAAATTAAATTTGTGTAGCGCATTTCACATCAGGACGACGTCCCAGGGTCCTGGACAATCAGTGTTTCAAACCCAAGCTGGGGATCGGGATCAGGGAGGGTGGAGGGAAGGGGGAAGGAGGGTGATTGAAGGCACGGTCGAAGAGGAGGGTCTTGAGATAGGTCTTGAAGGAGGCAAGGGAGGGGGCGAGGCGGAGTGACTGCGGGATGGAGTTCCAGAGGGTGGGGGCAGAGTGGCTGAAGGCCCACCCGCCAATATTGGGGCAGGCGAGGCGGGGGACGTTATGTATGCCGGAGCCCGCTGAGCAGAGGAAGTGGGCAGGTTGGTAGGGGTTAGGTCACAAAGCTAGGTGGGAGCAAGACCATGGAGGGCTTTGAAGGTGAGAATGAGGGTTCTGTACATGATTCTCTGAGGGATGGGAAGCCATTGGAGTCGGGTGAGAATGGGAGGGATTACAGATGCCTTTGGTATGTAATTAACAAACCATGATTCTGTATCCTTTACACATATTAATGCAGAATTGAGGGCACAGCCCACAAATTACATCCTATGTAGTTTAATTTAAAAGTACTGGATCCAGTCACTTTTAGACTTGATTGCTGATGTGAAACCCAATTCACATCTTCATTAACTTGAGCGGAAGAGCAAGGCATTTTACCGTTAACATCTGACTAATATGATCAGTTAAAAAATCCTCATTAGAAATGCTGAAATGTTACACGGGATTTTCTCTGTAAGTGTAAGGTCTCATTGTGAAGTGAATGGAAACAGATATATAGAGAGGCACTATTTGTGAATGGTCAAGTGTGGTCTTTACTCCATTATACTTACTATATTCAATCAGTTCAGAAAGCAAAAATTACAGAATAAATCTTTCACTTTGCTTATTCTTTAGAAACAAATTAACTTTATTTAACTGTAGCTTGTGAAATTTCCTTCTGGCTATATCTTATGAACAAACCAAATTTCAATACAGATGGAGTTCAATATTTCGCTCCATGAATTAATTTGGAAAAAATTTCCCCAAATCCATACATTTTTCCATAAATTATACAAAATTGCCAATACCATGGGATTGAGAGTTTCCAATCAAACGTTAAACGTCATCTATCTATTTCGAAATCCTAACAAACAATGTTAGCTATTTGCATGTGTTATAATTTAAGATAGCATAAGAACAAATACAAACCTGTAGGAGGAAATTATTTCTCGATCCAGAATAGCATTAGTGGCAAGAATTCCACGGGCAGAATCAATGATAAAAGCCTGATTTTGGTTTCCTGATATTATGGAATATTCAATTTGACCATTGAGCCCACTGTCAGCATCAGAAGCAAAAATCTGTTAAAAGTGCACAATCATTTAGCATGCATTTGATTAACTTTGTGGATAGGCATTTTTCACTGGCTGAATATTTTCAGTGAAGGTCAAAAGCTACACCTAAATCCTCCCTTTTTCAATTTGTACTCATGGGTAACCATTTGTTGCGACACTCTTCATTACTCCATTCATTAGACTCTCTGCTTAATTTTACCCGAATTCCTTGTACCAAGCTGCATCAGACTAGCCTCACAGCTTGTCCATAGCAGCAAATTGGCTTTGGCTAGGATCCATTACAAGCCATACCCTCCTCAATACTGTGGAGAGATCCAACAATCAATTAACAACTAATGTGGACTGGTTTGGGTGGACGTGGGGCATTGTGAGGGGGAGGGGAGGCATTTACCTGCATGACGTACGTATTGTAGATCTGTCCTTCCCATACAGATGTTCTGTAATGGCTTTGTTCAAATTGTGGTTGATTATCATTTACATCTTGGAGAATAATTGTTAGTCTGCTGTGTGCTGTATGATGATTATTTTCTGCCAATAAAACTAGGTGAACTTTGGTTCTAACTTCAAAATCCCAAAATTTAGAACCTTTTGCAACAATCTCACCTGTAAAGAATGAGACGAGATGGCAATACATTCAGGCACATACTGCCACACAAAATAAGGCATTAGCTATAAATAGCTGCGGCAAAATAGTATTCTGCAACTAGTGTCCAAGAGTTTTAATCTGGAACTATGTTCCTAAATTCTTATGCTTTAATTACATGAATATTATTGGATGACGGAGGATTTGCTGCTTACAGAATTTGCATTACAGAATATTACCAACCTCTTGGTGCAGAATGATTTTAAGATATGATTTTGTGTTCAGAACAATACATTTTCAAATTCATGTTAAAACATGCCAATAACATTTCCCTTGATAGCCCAGAAATCTAATATAAATTGTGCGAGCAGAAAAATGGCAAGTGTGACTTAATCTTTACATAGGATCCTTTTTCTTCAATGAACAACAAGAAGAATCAAAAGAGCAGATAATAATTCTGTTTGAATGACAAGCAAAGTTGTTTTGAACAGTTTAAATTTTGACCAAATATATGAACCTTGTCCTGGCCAAAACGAGAATCAGACCAGGTTCTTGAGCAAAGTTTAATCCCACTTTTGTTGATTGGGAGTGGAAGTGTCTGGGCCACAGAGGGAGAAATCCGAAAAGTGTGTATTGTCCTCTACTGTAATTTGTACATAAATAACTGTTCTTTCAATCACTTACCAGTATTTGAACCTATGCTGAATGCTCCATTTTCATTCCCTTTAAAAATGCTGTATCTGATTCGAGATGCATTATTGCTGTAGTCTTGAGCTGCAACTCTCAGTACTGAGGTTCCTGAATAATAAATGAACATTTACTTTGACAAAATAGGTTTTGTAGAACAATTTTGCAATCTATGTCAAATCCTGAGGCTCTTAATTCTCATATACTGAGCTTTAGTGGAGTTCTGTAGCTCAGTGGCTGGGTTCGATTCCCAGCAGGGCGAAATGTTGTGCAAGTTTCCTTACTCCACACGCCTCTGTTTACCTAGCAGTAAATAGGAACCTGGTTGTTAGTCGATTGACAGATCGCTTTTCCGGAGACAATAATTCCTTCAAAAAAAATAATAATAATAAATTGGTCACTTCAATCCATGACTGTTTGTGGGACACTGCTGTGAGCGATTAGCTGCCGCGTTTCGCCCACAAAATATACACTTTACAGTATATTTTGTGAAGCGCTTTGAGACGTCTCGAAGACGTGATAAGGCGCTATATCAAATGCGAGGATTACTATTATTTAAGCTTGAGCCTTAGAAGGTATTTGCCAACAAAATACAGTTACTACGTTTTCCAAATTACGACTAAATCTGAAGAATTTTTGCACAATCTTAAAGGCTTTTTGCACTGTGAAGTTTCTTAAACTGTTCCGAGACCTGAAAATTTACCCAATCTTAGTCTTCAAAATGAATATGCACTCATATAGAGCATTATCATATCGAAATGTGTCAAATTAGTGACAATTTCAGTAAGCCTGCTAGGCAAATGCAGCAGTAATTTGCATCAGGAAATTCACATAAATACCAATAAGGTGATTAATTAATTTATCTAGAGAATTGTTATGTCAGGACATAGGAAATCAAGTATGACAAGTGTCATGGGATATTTACAAAAATATAATATTTTGATTGATGCAATGCAGACAACACAATGGTCAAAATGGTTTGCTCACCTGGCCTGATGTTTTCAGCAATCGTTACTTCATACATGTCATGAGTGAACCAAATTCCTTTTTCCTCTCCTTGTAGATATATCACCACAAGTCCAGTTGATGATCGAGTAGGAACACCCTCATCTCTTGCAACTACATATAAAAGGTTTGTACTAAAATGAACATGGGGCAGTGAAGTCTTCAAGTAGATTTCACCAGAGTTGCTGTTGATGGCAAATACTGAATTAGATTCCAAAATCTGGAAAATAACAGTGCCATTTGGTCCTAGATCCTTATCATCAGCTCTCACAGTGGTGATGGTAAGATTTACCATAGTGTTTAAGGTGACATTGGCAATAACTGGGTTTTGTACAAAAACAGGAAAATTGTCATTTACATCTTCAATATGTATTATTACATTAACAGTGGTACTTTTTGGATTTTGAATGCTGTTATCACTTGCAACTGCCCTGAAGACATATTGTGATTTTGTCTCTCTATCTAATTCCCCCGTTGTTACTAGGAGACCAGTGCTACTGTTAATAGTAAACATTCCAGAAGTATCATCAATTATAGAGTATATAATGTCACCATTAGAACCATCATCCTTGTCAACAGCTATCAACTGAAGTACACTGGATCCAACAGGAAGATCCTCCTTCACAGAAGTACGATAATGGCTTCTTTCAAATATGGGACTGTTGTCATTTTCATCTAGAACAATAATCCATAGCTTTGCAGTGCAAGTCTGTTGTGGGCTACCAAGGTCCCGAGCCTCAATTATCAGGGAAATATTACTGAATTCTTCTCGGTCAAGTCCCCTAGTTGTAGAAAGTTCTCCAGAAATAGCATCAAATCTGAAAACGTCAGTGAGATTTCCACCTTACAGACAAAACACAATGGAGACTTTGTTAAGCAACACTGCTTTCCTCGTGATTTACTGAATAAATTTATCCAAGCTTTTTCAATATGGCAAAACATTGTTGTTTGATTCACCACATAAGTTTTAAAAAATAATCTTAATTAGAATGCTCAACTTACCAAGAATTTGATATATAACCAGTCCATTTTCCCCAGCATCCTTGTCCATAGCCATAGCTGTATAGATAACCGCTGGTTCCTGATTTTCTGGTATACGCAACTCATGTACAGGAAATATGAATTCAGGGTGGTTGTCATTTTCATCCACAACAGTCACCATGATTGTAGTTGTAGCAGACAGAGATGGGACCCCATTATCTCGCACTAAAACTATTACACATAATTCAAGAAAATGCCGCCAATCATTTTCGTACAAAATTTTAGTTAGTTGACAATAAACGTAACAGCAAAAATCTTTTGAAATAATCAAACTCTCCAATATTTTAATATCTCATTTATAAATATACTAATAGTTTTTCCTATTTGCGTTATGTATCCTACTCGCGAAGGAAGTTTCTCAAAGTGTCCTAGTTAACAATTTGAGACGTTTTGATAGTGTGGTATCAAATGAGAAGATTATTAAATGCAAATGTTATGATTATAACAGGAAAGTGATTCACCTCAGGAAGAGAAAAATACATTTTTTTCTAATAAAGTTAAATGAACATTATTGTCGGGGTATATATGAAATAAGTATCTACGATGGGTTTGAATTGGACAAATCCATATAACTATAAAATAGTGTGAGTGAGGAGATTCCTACCTTTTATACTAATGTTCTCTTGCAGTTCTCTATCCAGCATTTGTATTGTATGGACCTCACCAATTTGTGAGTTCATTTTGAATAAATCATATCCAGCACTTGGTAAAATCTCATAAGTAAGGGCAGCATTTATACCTGGAAATAAAATGTAAAAAACATTAACTGAGAACATCGCACAATTTATGGATATATTTTTCTAAATGTTGCAATCATCCCACCTAAATAGTATTAAGTGCTCCAAGATGAGACCCGCGTCTTTAAAGAGTGCAATATATAAATGGAAGTTGTATTATTTTAAAGAAATGACTAGAGCTACATGAAGATAATACAGATGACCCCGTTATCATGAGGTGGCCTGGTCTATAACCTTAGACTCCCATGTTAAAACGAAACACGAAAAATGGCCGACTTTCGGCCATCAGGTTGTTGCTGACACCACTTGTTTGTAATTGATGTTTGCCTATTATGCAAAAGCACCGCTGACATTATTGTGCAAGGAAATCGTGCAATGTGCAGAAAGTGACATTAATGATGCTTCCTACACATTACTGGTTGGCATTCCATATAGCGACTCTGACAATGTGTGGTCCACTAATTCCCACAAAAGATCAACAATACCTATGTTACTAAAAGTCATGTTGACCAGAATTTCACCTCTTTGGTATTTTGTAAACAAAAAGTATAATAACCGTATAAAATTGAGAAGTTAATATTTATACTTAATACTGCATGCAGATAAGGCCTAAAAAGAACTTGATTTGGCCTTTGTAACTGGCTGATAATTGCTTAGGGAAAATTCCAAATCTTCAATCCTATCTTGTAGTAAGAAGATTTAAAGTTGATTTTAATGTGAACTGCTATATAGTCACAGAAGGAAAGTATAGGAACTCGCCCCTGGAAGCAATATTTACCTGAATCTCTATCAGAAGCTTCAACCTTGATAACAAACTCCCCCTGATTAAGATTTTCAGAAATCCTAACTTCATAGACAGACTGTTGAAACGCTGGTACTTCATCATTCACATCCACAATGAAAATTGTAAGCATCTGTGTCGATGATTGAGCAGGAAGTCCATTGTCCTGCCCCAAAATTGTGAGGACATAGGATTCCTGCAATTCCCGATCTAGACATGAGGCCAAGATTAATGAACCTGTAACGAAATGCAGTCTTCCATTAGTTTTATTATAATCCATTTGAACAATAATATTGTAATGTTCGCCAAAATTCAATAACTGACAATCCAGTTTTAGTACCTGATGATTCATCAAGCTTGAATGTATTGTCTTCATTCCCTGAGATGACAGAATATGTAACTCTTCCATTTTCACCTGCATCTGCATCCTGTGCAATAATATGATGCACACGATAACCCACTTTCTCATCTTCCATTACATATGCAACATTTGTCGACACAAATGCTGGGCTGTTATCATTCACATCCAAAACAATAATCTGAGCGATCAATGAGCATACTTTGCGTTCACTGACATCCACTGCTTGATCTGTTGCAGTTACTATTAGAACAGAAGTCTGAGCCATTTCACGATTAATTGACGTCACTGTCTTTAAGCAGCCTTGAAAGGGATCTATGTAGAATAGATTTTCTGAGGAACTTTCTAGCACAATAGAATATTGCAAATCGCTGTTTGGTCCACTTCCATCAGCATCTTTTGCATTAAATAAGTAAACAAGGGACCCTGCAGGCAGATTTTCTTGTATTCCAACCACAATTCTATCATCTTTAAACCATGGCGAGTGATCATTTTGGTCTTCTACTTTAATACTGACAAAAACAGTGGTATTCTTTGAAGGGATCTGACTGCTATCTTCTGCTATTATCTTCAACAAATAATGAGTTATTGTTTCATAGTCCAGCTCTTGGGTTAGGTACAATTCCCCAGACATACTGTCAATTCCAAACTGAAAGTGATCATCACCTTCAACAATAGTGAAATGTACTTTCTGTCTGGCCAACATGTGGTGGTCATGTGAACTGATAGGACCCAAAATATTCCCAGGCTTTAAACCTTCTGGCACGACAAAATACCTGAGGTTATCTCTGTTGTTCAGTTTTTCTACAAGTCTGGGGATAACCTGAAAAAAATCATGCAATTCGTAAGCTTATTTATTTTTTGCACAGAATTACTCACTTATTTATGGAAACAATGACAAATATTACATGATCATCGGTACTCAACAGAAGAGAATACAAAAGTAAATTGATTTTGAAAATATATTCTGTAATCGTCAAGCCAGTTCCAGAGTGCACCAAGTTTAAAACAACAGGGAGCTGAAATATATCCTTTATCTATAACCAATAATATATTGCATAATATGTTACTATTGTGAATGCATGTACCTGGATAGTAATTACTGCTGTCTGCTGAAGTGGTGAATATCCTGCATCACTCGCCACCACAGTTATTTTATAATGCGATACTTGACTGTACATTAGAACCTTGGACGTTCTCAGTTCTCCAGTTTGGGCATCAATTTTGAAGCTGTTTGAAATGTCTTCTGTGGAGAATTAACATATTAATCCCTCGTGCCCTCCACTTCACCATCGGTGGCCGTGCCTTCAGCCACTACGCCCCGAAGCTCTGGAACTCTCTCCCTCAAACCCTTCGCCTTGACTCTCCCTCCCCATCTTCAAATCCCACCTAAAGACCTTCCTTTTTGATCATGCTTATGGTCACCTCCACCCTCCCTCTCCCCCTGGCTCGTTGTCAGACTCCGCCATTGCGAAGCACTTGGGTCGCTACCCACAATGAAGGGCGCTATATAAATCCAAGTTGTTGTTGTTATTAAATAAGAATTTTCTTTTTCATTCTCTCTCGCTACAGTTTTTCCAAGTCTTCTTCCTCCATTTCACTTTCAAATGGTTTCAGCTGGGAAGGGAGAGCTATTCATTGCGCATGTCGGAAGGACATCTCAAAGTGCTTAACACTGCTGGCTGGGCATGCGAACTGGGGGAGGAGGCAGAAGGGGGTAGGGAGGGGAAAAGATGTCCAAAAACAGAGTAAATTTCACTTCTTGAGATAGACCTTGAACGAGACGAGGAAGATAGCAGGTCAGAGAGCTGGGGAGGCTGGCAAGCGCAGTGTTGGCTTAGCCAGGCCTGGACATGATAAACGTGTGGATGAGGCTCTAGCTCGCTCGAGGGGAGAGGTAGTGGCGGAGGAAGATAATGTAACAGAGGTGAGGGAAAGCTGAGTGTGTAAGAACTTAGATGTGGAGATTGAAGGGCAGTTTGGAGTCAAACAACACACTGCTCCCAAATCAGCAAATAAATCAGAGAAGCTTTTAAAGTATTAGCACTTTTCCTATCCCACAAGTAAAAAGACTACCAGTTTAAGCTGGTTTAGCATTTTGACAATGAGCTAATCAGATTTTTTTCCACTGTTTTATTCAATATTTCACTATTATATGTAGAAGAAACAACTCTACTAATTGTCATACCATGAACAAAACAATCTTAAACATAGGATTTTAAAAATATATATTTGCTACATTTCCAAACAGCAAAACAATAATTTAAGAATATGAGAACTCTCCTCATATTAACAAACCTGAAATAGAATAAATAACTGTGCCATTTTCACCAGCATCTGGGTCCTTGGCAAATAAAGTGGTTAGAAATGTACCTTCAGGTTGTGCTTCCAAAACCTGCCATTTCAAATATGTACAGTATAAGTAAAAATATATAATAAATTAAACAAGACATAAGAAGTGCACATACAGCACTTTAGCTATTATAAACATGAAGTTATACACTACTTATGAATGTACTGTACTTAATGTATCTTGTAAGCACTAATAACCCTAACAAATTACTTACAGTAATAATACTTACTAGATTCATCCAATGTATATCTGTAATAGAACAATTCTCTTGAACATCTCAGATTTCAGCAACATGTTCAAATTAGACTACAATCTTGATGGTCAGACACCTAAAATTATGTTTTCACCATTTAGAAATGGACAGTTGATCCTTATATGCAGAATGTACAGACAGATTATTCTCAAGACTAGGAAAGGGAGAGATTCTGTTTGGAAAATTGTATGATTGCTACTAAGAAATTTTCAAAATGTCATTTTGTCTACATGTGATTGTGAAATACTGTTTAATGGAATATTTAGAAGAGGGGATAAATATTTTGCTCGTGTTTGAACTAAAAATTTTAAACAAATTTAATCAAATGAAAAGACTACAGAAATTCTCCTTACCTGAAAAGAATTAAAATCACGACATGTATTCGAAAGATTCTGGTATGGTAAGGGCATAAATATTGGCTTCAAGGAGAAAAAAAGAGGTATTCTCATGCCTATGTGATTCATTTAGTGTGTGAAGGGTCCTGTGAAGGACCCAGATTCAACCCCCCATTTGTTGTGAGTAAGTCCTCTCAGTTGGTTTTGTACCCCGTCATTGTAAAGCACCCCAAGACATTATCCCAAGTGAAGACTGCTATATAAATATTGTATTTATACAACACTGTTAAGGGCTCTGAGACTCTATGCTGCGTAGTGGACGCCATATAAGTGCAAGTTGTTTTTGTACTAAATTTGCTATAATTACAGAGTGGAAAATCGGTCAGGGTTCCTGGTTCTGAACCAGTGACCATGCTACAGGTGAGTGTGTGTGGATGGATCAAGCTTGTTTACAATTTACTTTAGTTGAACAGCCTGCCAACACTCACTGCCAAGGCTTTTACTTTTGGGATGACCTGAGTCTGTGGAGCAGTCGCTCCAGTAGACACAGGAATCAAATGTCGTTAAGAGAAGGAATGGGTGAAATCAGCAACTGGAAAAAAAATGAAAATGGAAAAGAAAACTATAACAAATACGTATATATAAAGGATAGAAACCAGAAAGGAAGTCTTTTTTAGGTTACTACATATGGTGAGAAGGAAATTGATTTGAATAATAGAATTTAGAAAAAATTTGAAAGGAGACAAACAATAAAGATGTTATAATATTTTTGAAGAAAAAAAAATTAAGGCTTGTAAAACCAAATTCCTCCCCAATGTTCAAAGGTGTAAAGAAACTGTCCCTTGTAGCTGTAAAGGAACAAGCGAAACCTGCAGCTCCAAAGTTATTCATTGTGCACTGGGAAGGAAATTAACACTTTAAATTCACACTTATACCAAAGCAAAAATTACCTATGGCATGATTTAAGAAATATTTGTTATTGGTTTACAAAACCTTTATAGACGCTGTGTGCTTGCATGAGACTAACCAAATTGCATTTTCCCCTTTTATGCTATAATAATACACTGCCACAAGGTGGCGATAGAGGTATTTTGGTAACCTGCAACTAATGCATTTGTTTACACAATGTTGACCTGAAATACAATTTTGCTACAATAAGAAATAATTATTGTTGCAGTAAAAACTCTAAACACATCAATCTATCTGTAAAAATTGAAAGCTTACCATCGTGAGGAATCTATTAAAACAAACCATTTAAGAGTAAATTCTTGTGAAAGGCGCTATATCAAATGCAAGGATTATTATTGTTATTATTATATCTTCTTGCTGATTGAGGGCTTGTAAATGAGCAAACCTGTGCTGAACATATTGTTTTTTTTCCAGCAACAATTTCATCCTAACATATTGCTGATTTGTAAAATATGTATTTGTAAATTGTTCACCAAAAGGAAAGCAAAAAGACGGAAAAAGTATGGATTAAAAATGCTACCTTGCCAGAGTCGACATCTTCCTAAATGCCTGTGCACCATACTGTCAGGTATTAGATTAATATTATTTTACATTCAGAAAATGATCAAGAATGAAACTTTAAAGTACAAATAAAACTAACATTGTATTTTGCATGTTATAAACTGAAGAGTATTGAATTTATTTATTTTGTGGATACAATTACTGTTAGGTAAGAAAAATCTGAAGGTTCAGTTTAATGTACTCTTTCCTCGATGGCAGAAATATATAAATTCATAACAGTTTCCCTTTTGTAAAAAATACTTGCTGTTGCCAATGATTTTAATGGCAGTTAGAACTTTGAAACAGTCCAAATCCCAAATCCAGAACCACAAAAGCCTAGGAAAACAGGAATTCCCAGCTGGTATTGTGATTTTCCCAGGGCCAGATGACTCCAGATTGTCCCGCAGGACACAAAGCTCTACTCCTGCTTTACTCTACTCTACTCTATTTACTCTATTATTTATTTACTCTAAATATATTATTTATAAATAAAATTATTTATAAATAAATAATCTATTATTTATTTACTCTACTCAATGGAACTGCTTCAAGATGCACATGATCCTCCCTGTAACATTGAGCACTAAGAATGGATAAATGTGAATTTCTCGTTGATACTTCTTTTTGTTCCTCTATAAGGAGTAGCATTTTGCACAGAAAGTACTCTTGACACTGTTTTTTCATTCAGTGCAAAATATAAAAATGAAACACAGAAGAGCACATACCTTAACAGTTATCTCACTCTCACTTTCTGGATAAGAAAACAGTGGCGGATTATCATTAATGTCAGTGACTGTGATGTAAACAGTTGTAGAGGCATTGCGCTGTGGCACACCATGGTCTCTAACCAGTATTGACATCTGATGTTGTGTTTGCTGTTCACGGTCTAAAGCAATCCAGTTAATAATCTCACCTGGAAAACATATTCAACACAGGAATTATAATATTTTAATTGAAGTCTGCCAACATGTCAAGTCATTTTTTCTATATTCAAAGCTCATTACCAATTGTATAAACTAACCATTAATGAAGAAATCTATCTGTTTCTCTATCATCTTTGTGACGTCCTCCTGATGTGAAAGTGCTTTAAAAATGTAAATTGTACTGCACTTCCTTTTAAAAAGCTTACTAGACACAAAGCCAGCTTGGGGTGGAGAATGGGTGTCATTGACCATTGGACACAGAGCCAAAGGGAGATGGGAGATCTCACAGAACATCAAGAGTAAAGCAGGAGGCCATTCACCATTAGGACCAATCCAACAAATAAAATTGGTCACTTCACAGTTGTACGTAGGACAATTGGCTGCCACATTTGCCCGTTCGCCCACAAATATACAGTCAATTCACTTTACAGTGTGTTCTGTGAAGCGCTTTGGGACGTCCTCCCGACGTGAAAAGCGCTACATCAAATGCAAGGATTATTATTATTATTATAAAACATAGTCACGATATTTTACAGTATATTCTGTAAAGCGCTTTGAGACATCTTGCCAACATGATAAGGCATATCAAATTGCAAGGATTATTATTATTCTTAGAATGAACTGAATCGGCAATAGCCCTGTGCAAGAAGAACAACGATCACCAACTCATTCCCCTCAATGTGAGCTGATGCTTTCTGGATTGTGCAAACTAAAACGACCCTTTTATACAAAACCAGCTGTACCCTTTGCAGCTTCACTTGCAACCAAAGGATCCAATATGGACTGTAGAGTGACCTTGAAAGGTTTGATTTTTCACTTAGGCATCTTGATGATAATATAAATGTATAATTTATAATCACTGGCACATCCTCCCGACGTGAAAGGCGCTTTAAAAATGTATTTTTGTTGTTGTTGTTGCCGCGGCTTAGCTTCGTCTGTGTTCTTTATTTTGTTCCCGCCGCCGCTTGGCTCCGTGCATGCTCTGTGACGCATGATGCCACAGCGCCACGGTCAGCTGACGTGGCCAAGTGGTGTAACTGCACAATGCCACAGCGCCAAGTTGACTCGGCGACCACCAGGTGTAACTGCAGCAAAAAACGCAAAACTGGAATACATTTTAGGTCAGAACTTATGAACAATAAGAGATGCCAAAAAAAAAATGCCCATGTCACTCCCAGGACAAGACCTTTCTAATGAGGTATAAATCATGATTTTATGATCTTAATGATTTATTTGTATGTTCAGAATTGTTTTTGTTGTTGAAGAAAATAATTGGCAAATCAACATTACACCAAATTGGTTGCTCAATATCACTATGATCTCAGCTTAGAACTCTGGTGGTGGCTATCACACAATAAAAAAAATGTGTTTGATCCAACAGTCAGAAGCATGACCTTTAATAAATCTAAACATTCTTTCACATCCTAGGTTTGCTTAATATAATCCATAACTTTTCTTTTTACCTGTTTTTGAGTTCAGTCTGAAGTATTTTCCATCAGATAATAAAATATATGCTATCTCTGAATTTTTCCCTGAATCTTGATCTGTTGCTTTTACTTTTCCAATCAATCCGTGAGGAACTTGGCTTTCTTCAATTGTGAAAAAATACAAATCTTGTGTAAATTTGGGAGGGCTATCATTTTCATCTGTTACACTAACAGTCACAGTGGTGGTAGCACTCAATCTTAATTGATCTGCTGGATTTATAGCAAACACTTTAAAGGTATAGCTAAGTGTGGACTCATAGTCCAGACTGCGACGAGTATAAATCCAGCCAGTGTCAGCATGGATGTCAAATATCACTGAATCCAAAGTTGGTTGAAGAGAGTAAACTATGACTGAGTCTGTCAGGAGATCTTGACTATAGGCACAGACTTGCACAATTCTAGTGTCTGGTGGTGCAGCTTCACTGATTTCAACTTGATAAACCAGTGTTTCAAAAATCAAAATATCATCCAAGTGATCAACAATGACTGATAACATGAACATGGCACTCAATGAACGAGTTCCCTCGTCACTAGCAAAAATATTTAAACTGTATTTGTGTTGCTTTTCTGAGGAAAGGCTCCTGTTGAGAAATATGGTTCCATGTTTGGGATCAATGGAAAACATTTGTTCATAGTCATTCTGTATACTGTACATGACTATTCCGTTGGACCCACTGTCTTTGTCTTCTGCATGTGCAATAAAGATAACTGTCCCAGGTAAGGTGTTCTTTGAAATGGTGATTGTTTCATATTCTTTGTGAAATACTGGTGTGTTATCATTGACATCTGTAATCGTTATGTTGACTTGAGTGCTGCTGTAGACCGGGGAGCTGTTCATCTGAGATTGAACAGTAAGCACCACAGAAGGTTGGGCTTCATGGTCTAACTGCCTACTGGTTTTGATGAGACCAGATCTAGGCTCGATGGAAAAATAACCATATGGATCACCAGAGGAAATTCGAAATATGTTTTCTGGAGAATCTGCAAAGAAAAAACTAGACAATTATTTGTGAGTAACAATTCAATAGTAAATAGAAAGGAAAGAAAAATACAAAAAATACACCAACCTTCTGCGGTGCTAACTGAAACAGTTTTGATCAGAACGATCACAAATAATTGCACTAAGGTGTATTATATAGGGCTGGAAGCAACAATAAAACAATGCTGGTCCAGTTGGAAAATGCACCACTTGGTGTGGAAATGAACCAGAGATGTTAATATTAATTCCTGTACAGTATATCCCCAGTACATACCGTCTTAACACATGTGCTAGCAAGCACATAATACACTTGTGTTGCCATGTGGTTAAAACTTAAAGACTACAAATAATGCTTTACTTAACAGAGCAAAAATGATTGCAAAGAATATAGAGGAAACAGGCCACTCAACCTAATCTTTCCCTGCCATTGTTTATACTCCACGTGAGTCAAAACAGGCTTCTATCTCTGTTTTACAGTTAATATATTACCATATATTGTATCTCATTATAAACATGAAATATGACATTTTAGAAGGAAACATAATTTCTAACATTCAGAAATTTCAACCCCAATTTAAAAACATTTTGACTCATTTTGATAGTTACAAAATCAATTCAAAGGGTTAAAATCATAAGGCTGCAGAATATCTATTATTTTGATAATGTACCAATGAAAACATGTAAAATGTAACAATAATACTCACAGAATACAACCACACTGAAACAGTGTCAGTGTATTCTTTGTTCTTTAATATATGAAAACAACTTATTATTGTGCGGTCACGAAAGAACAATAACACAAAAAGTCACTGGGCTACTGCCAAATGTGAAGTGCACGGCAAAAACAGAAAATAGCAAATCTTTTATTTGTTACCTCAATTGAATAAAAAAGTTATTGATTAAAAAAACCTGCATCCCGACATTTTCCGATCAGCAAGTGAGTAATGCTGCCCTATCAGCGCGTTGGACGTCCTCCCGACGTGAAAGATGTCTATAAATTTCATTTTGTTGTTGTCGTTGTTGTTGCTATCAACTTGTCCTGCATAGTCATACGTAACGGAAAATATTCCATCAACACTCAGTGGCCCTTTTTCTTACTACCCTATGAAGAATTAACATCAAAAGTAAGAAATCTACTGTGTGAAGCTAAATTCTTACAAATTGGCGTGATGTACATTGAGTTCTTTGCAAGAGACACAGTTTAGGAGCCCAAGAACTTTGAGGTGCAAATTATGTTGACGTTTTCTCACCAAGTGCTTTTCAACCCCATGATCTGGATTAATTGTCTGCTAAACACTAGTTGTGTTATGCAAAACTCACCTGATTCACTTGTAGTTTGTACTATACCAACTGAACTATGTATTGGGATATCTTCCGCAACAACAAAGAAATAATGAGAACTCTTAAACTTTGTGGGAGGAAGAACGCTCTCGAGAATGTACACAGTCACAGTTGCATTGATTGGTGAGATCAGGCCCCCACCATCTTGGGCAGAAACCATCAACAGCAAACTGGAAACTTGCACATGACAGAGGTCTGAAGTTAAATATACTGCACCTAAAAAACAAAAATAGATATAACCTAAAAAGTACTGCTTACATTTTTATCAAATAAGGTTTAAATGGACTGTTAAACAGACATTTTATTGAATCAACAAAAGTTCAAGAATAGAACTTAAATGTTCTCCTGAAGTTAACACAAGAGTAATTCAACCCAAGTGTACAGCTAACTCAGCAAATACCAAAATTTAAACCTTCCAGTTTGAATGACAGTGCCTTTATTTACTAGATCATTTGGATCCAAATTCAAAGTGTACCATAATGTAGGATTTGACAGGACTTAGACCAGACACTATGCAGACAGTAAAAGATCCTCTGTCAATTGTCTAAAGTACTAATCTGAAACAGATTACCTCAGAGAAAGTAGGTCAGTGCTGCATTTATAGATTTAAGACAAAGTAGTCTTGTACAGACTGTATATGATTAACCTTTTGGCATCAAATTCAGACCAACACTGACAAGGCTTTATTTACTTTACACAAATTACAATAGGAAATAAAGCAAAGCTTTATTTTCTAAAGATTTTTCTTTCATGAAAGTGCCTGGGTGGGCTGTGTTGGTTAAGTGGAGCATGAGAGTCTAGAGCTTTCGTTTAGAAGCAATTTTGAATTCAGGTTGAAATACTCAAGGTGACTCACCTATATTTTATTGGTTAAAAAGCACTAAGCCATACAGATCAAGTCATGGTTCTATAAATAACAGGAACAAATAAACTGTTGTTATACCTGCAGAAGGATCTACAAAGAAGAAAGAAGAGAAATTTCCAGGTACAAGTTCATATGACACTTGTCCATTTATACCAGAATCTCTGTCATAAGCGATCACATTTATAATCTCTGTTCCAGGCGGTGTGTGTTTGCTGATACTGGTTATGTATGTCAATGGATTGAATACAGGCTTGTTATCGTTGATATCTTGTACCTCTATGTGGATAAAAGCTTGAGCACTCAACCCACCCTGTAGAAAAACAGGGAGAATAACAATACTATTAGTGCAGTGATACAAACAGCAACAGTAAACAAACAACTTGCCAGCACAGAACATAGTTTAGTTTCAATATAATTGTACAGCTCGGACTTAATAATAATAATAATTGTTGCATTTGATGTAGCACTTTTCAAAACCTCTAAACGTCTCAAAGAGCTTCACAGGATATACTGTAAAGTGAATTGACTATATTTGTGGGCGAAATGCAGCAGCCAATTGCGCACAGTAGTGTCCCACAAACAGTCGTGGATTGAAATGACTTATTTTATTATTGTTTTATTTTATTGAGGGATTACTATCAGCCGTGTGGACTTCTCTACTTGTTAGGACTCTGACTTGCAGGGTTCAAGTGCCACTGATTAGACAGACAATCTTGGTCAACCATCAACAGTGCTTTTGATTAGATCACAAGATGATTTAGATGAAGAAGGCCCTTCAGTCCATCCAATCTCTTCCCTCCAGAAAACCCGCCCTACCATCCCCCATCATGTCAAGCTGCTTTTTAAGTGAATCCAGTGTTCTAACCTTTCTTGGCAACTCGTTCTGTTGAATACTCCTTTACATGTAAATTCAGAATTAACAAAAAGGGCCAATAAGAAGGAAGTCGGGAAGTACAAAAGGACACTGGGAGTGGGACAAAGTTTGTAGTTTACAGTGTTAGATTGACAAATAAAGACGCTACTAACACAACCTTGATTTGGATCAAGATATATTAAACATTCCAGTCTTGATTACGATCTAAGTATTGTAAATCTGAGTGGATTCCATGTGTCTCTCCAGAAATAGTTCAACCCCAAGAAATCCTGTCTTATTTCTCATCCAAGGAAGATAGCTTTTGGACATAGTATAAGGTGAAGGGGTGACTGGACCCACTGGAATTCAAATCCACAACCTCTAGTCTCAAATCTAACTAGCTACCTGGGATGTTGCCCAGAATCATACATAGAAACAGCACTCAAGCCTGTTCCACCATTTTATAAGATCATGGATGATCTGTACCTCAAGTCCAGTTACGCGCCCTTGCCCCATATCCCTTAATACCCGGACCTAACAAATAACACACTACCTATCAATTTCAAAATGGATAGCAATGCAATATAAGCTGTTTTAGTAACTGAAGCCACCGTGATACATTACAGCTTTAAATCAAGCTTATTCTTTGGAATATAATTCTTTATCTGAATTATTTGCAACATTAACATTATTATACTTATAGTGCATCTAATTTCCACCAATTTTCTTATTAAAATTAATTAATTTAGCCATACAAGGACTCAAATGCAAAGATAAAACTCTGTACACAAGCCTCTGACTACTAATTAATATTTAATGATAGAACAAAGTTGATAGGATCGTCAGCTTCTGTTCTGACTATTAGCAATTTGAAGGCAGTATAGTAGGTCATTTCATATATTTTTTAAATTTTAAAAATTTAGTTTGTTGTTGAGTTAGCTGCACCAGAGCATATAAATGTTAGTGTAATTTGTGTTGTAGAAAGTGTTGCTGACTTCATTAAGGCTGTGAAATTATGTCAGCAACACTTTCTGCACATAACACTCAGTGCACATGAAGTGACGCAAGCGGAAGTTGGTCATTTTTCACGCTTTGTTATAACTCAGCCTCTGAGATATTGGACCTAGGTGAACGTGTTATAACAGGGTTGCTCTGCATTACTGTAAGAGTAGGATTAATAACAGATTTAAAATATTTGTTGCACATCACCAACATTTTTCCTCAGAAAAGGAGCATTCAATAGTGTTAATGAGCATTAGGTTTAACTTACCCCATCCTCAGCTTTTACCAAAAGATCATAGTTTGGTGGTCCGTTGTCTCGATCAAAAATTTGTGTTGTACAGACTTGACCGGTAATGGTGTCAATGCTGAAGAGGTGTGACTCTTCATAGTTGTTAAACCCTTCATAAAGGGAATATTGGATGCTACCAAAATGGCCGCTATCTGCATCTCTTGCTGTAACCTATGTGTTTTCAAAAAAAATCTATAGTAACAATTTTTATATAACAATCCACAGCTTGTATTTTACACACAGAAGATAGTCAGTTTGGATAAATAACTTAGTTATATGCATGTACATCATTCAAATAAGACTTTCAAGATATCCTTGCTACGTCTGTCCCATTTAGATCAATGCCATTAGCAGGTATGCCTAAATGTTACTAAAATAAATATTCTGGGCTCATTTTTGCATCAAGCTCAAAAGTGGATTCAGTACAGAAACCCTAGATTTGTCCTACTTGGGAATTAGGTAGTTTGCTGTACACATGATCAGCAGATTTAAAACTCTTTCATACTAAATCTACAGATTCTAATTACCTATGCATGTTCAGCAGATGTACAATCAGTTTAAATATAAACTCTGATTACCTTACCTCCAGTTCACGGCAGTAACAATAACCATCCATTGACAACAGAAACTAAATGGACTATAAAAGCAGGAAATTCACATTATGTTAGCATAAACAGAATTGCAAATCAAATTATAGTCTGCAAGGAAAAGCTACACAACCAGTAAATTAATACATAACACAGATCAGAATCTGAACTGAGTAATCAAATGTAATTCCAATCATTCAAATCCAAAAGAAATGATGCAAAAAGTTAGAATTATGGAACCAATCTCCTCAGAAAACCATAGATATGGAGTCAAATGAAGCATTTAAGAGAGAGATGGATACTTCTTAAATAGGATATTAAGCGGCATGGAGAAAAGGTAGAGAAATTGAATTAAAGGTATTTGATAGGCGGTCCATCTTGACATGCTGAATGGCCCACTCTTATAACAATATCTCTATGGCAGCTACAACCAAGATTTTTCACTTGTTAATAAATTTGGCACCTATAAAAAAATTCCATTTATAGTGCACACTGGGCATATTAGCACATTTAGCAAGAAGCATAATATATCTCCTTAAGTTATTAGTAATAATAATAACATAATAATTCTTACATTTGAGATAGCACCTTTCATTTTAGGAGGACATTTCAAAGCACTTCACAGGATATACTGCAAAAACTGTCTTTTGTGGACAAAAGTGGCAGCAAGTTTGCACATATCAACATCCCACAAACAACCATGAAGCCAACCTTCATTAGGAGGTAACAATATCACCGTACTGAGCATTACTACATAAAAGTGCACTATGAGAGGAAACAATACATTTTCTGCAGGTACTTGGATTATTTTCAATATATCCTGATGGAGAGGCATGCTGCATAGGAACAATCTGAAAAGTTCATTTACAAAACAATCATAAAGTTACAGGATATGGGGAAAAGGCAGGAATTTTAGACTAGGGATAGGAACCAGGATGGGCCAAATATCCTGTTTCTGAGCTGTACCTTCTATGAATCTAGAGTTTAGGTCACTTGTTGAGAAATTACAATTTGTGGATTAGGAGAAAATGTTAATTCAGAATTCTATACCCAGTTTACAGGATTAGTTCCAGTAAAATTTAAAGCTAATGGCCCACTGACAGAAAGGTTATTGTGAGAGAGGAAGATGGGCACGGAAAACATTGATCCAGAATTTTAAAATACTGAGAGGAAAAGTGAATACAGGATATAGGATCAAAATGAATAACCCTCAAACAACAAGTAGTGGACTTATGGAGTGAATTCCTAGAAATCTGTGGAATAACTCATAGAAAAGCAGTTACTATGTTAATAAAAATATTTTTAAAAAGCACCAGATGAATGTCTAGTTAGGGATAGAATTTAACTTAAGGGATAAATTCAGACTAAGATGATTCCTAAATTGTTGGGGTTAAGGTATAGTGAGGGTAGTTTTCTGGCAGGTTGCCCGAGTTGATTTATGGAGATGTGGGAATAGACAGACTTTTCATGATGACCTTTGTTGTACAGCTATATTTCCTACATTAAGAATTAAGGTTCAGTATACAGAGTTGTCTTTCTGTTTTCTATGGGACAAGCACATCAAGATTAAATTAAACAAAGTTCAATGTAACAAACAATATATCTGAGTGCACTTGTGTGAGAGCTCTTGCAATCTTCCCGCCACAACACATTACTCACTCGTATTCCTGACCGGATCAAACATGAAAACACTGCTCCAATAATGCCTATTTAATGACAACATTAGTGAGATAATTTGAACATACAGGTTAAATACTACACTTATAGACCAGGGGTAGCCTACTTGAGGCCCACAGGTTGCACAAAGATGCAATACGCATGGTAAAAGTCACGTGTACCGCAAGTCGGCCAGCCCTGCTATAGACAATGCATACTAGCAACTAGTTAAAACGTAAAATTAGACAACAATTTATTCATTACCAATCCAGCCACCTTTGATGTACATCAAGTAGATTATCATAATAAATGCAACCCAGATGGCTTTACTTTACGTAATTATTTAATTCAATTTAAACCAAGGGATTAGCATGAATTTCATCAGTTAGTCTCTTTAGCTGTAAATTGAATACATATTTGGATTTACGCTGCTTAGTGGAATCCTGCTTAATGGATTCAAAGATCATTGTAAATGAATCCAGCACAAACTAGTTACATCCTGCTGCTGAGTCTGTCCAGTCATATAATAATAATAATAATAATAATAATAATCCTTGCATTTGATATAGCGCTTTTCACGTCGGGAGGACGTCCCAAAGCGCTTTACAGAACACACTGTAAAGTGAATTGACTGTATATTTGTGGGCGAACGCGGCAGCCAATTGCGCACAGCAATGTCCCACAAACAGTCGTGGATTGAAGTGACCAATTTATTATTGTTTTTGGTTTTGGAGGGATTATTATTAGGCTCTGTGTGGAGTAAGGAAACTTGCCCAAGGTTTCGCCCTGTGCCTGGAATTGAACTCAGGTCTCTCGCTTGCAAAGCGAGTGCTCTAACCACTGAGCTACAGGACTCCACATTGTAATTTACAGGGAGATTCTTGCTTGCAAGCAATGCCAATAAACGGTATGGCAGTGGTAAGAATTAGAATCACCATTGCCTTTTGGTGAAATAATGTATCTTAAAAATGTTACAAGCTCAAAAATATTTTTCTATTTGAATAGACTTAAAGAATTCTAATTATACGCACACAAATAAGGGACAGGTGTAGGAACTAATGCTGAAAAGTAATGGCATCCATGCTTTTTTTCTGGCCTGTATGTTTAATATAATCTACAGGAGAAACACACTCAAGCTAAAAAAAAAGTTTACATGTAATAATTTTAATTAGTTAGTTGATTGGACCGGGTAGTATGCAAAAAGCCAATTGTAAAATGTCATTTTGTAAGTAATTTAGTAAACTAGATAGTATAAAGCAATTTCCTGCCCAACATTGCCTAATTACAAATGGTATTTTATATGTTAAATATTTGTGTTATTTACTCTATATATTTTCTGTCACAGTAAATATTATCCAAAATGTATCTATTTTAACATTTTTATATATAGCAGTAAGATCCAAGAGAATTAATCTGAAAGGGAACTAAATCCGAATAACGACGTTGCTATTACATTATTTACAATTCAAGTCATTAACATGCAACAAATTTTACTGAATTATTCTATGCTCAATTATTTTCTACTTGGAGCTATGAATGCAGGCCCACAACTTGCTCTAGCCACACATTAATGTCAAGGTAGAAATTTGTTATCATTTATTTCTTCTATTTTTCTGCTTGATGGCAAGCTACCAGTTTGAACTAATTGCAGACACGGCAAAAATGTCGTAATGAACAATAGCGATGGGTATGTTTTAGTCCTTGAGCTTTGAGCACAAATATGTTGTTTGTTGTGTTTTTTCTTTTTTAGAATACAACTTACATTTATATAGTACCCTTCATTTTGGATATAGTATACTTCACACTCTGAAGTGAGTCAGAGAGACTATGGGATTTTAACTGGTTAAGATTACTCCAATAAATATTCTCGGGTCCTCAAGTATTTGTTCTGAGCAACCTGTACCTAAATTCTCCAGAATTAGGCAAATAGAGTGCGTCCTTCTGTGACAGAGTGCACAATCTATGCCAGACGAATCAAAATGATTTATGACTGTGAAATTCTCAGTAGTTATGTGATTAAGGTTCAAGGAATTAATGGCTAATTGGATTGAAACCTGGTTTAACTATAGTAAGTAGGTGGTGATGGTAGAAAACATGTCAGGGTGAGGCCGTGCCTCATGAAATTCTGCAGGGATCTGTTCTGGAAGTCTGCTGTTCACATTATTCATATATGATTGAAAGAAGAATATTTCTTGTGATCCTATAAAATTTGCTGATGATGCAAACATATCAGCTGACAAGGTTTACGAGCATTTGCTCATAGTGCAGCGGCAGTTTACAAATTTATAATTTTGTATGCTAAACCAAGGTTTCACCTGCTATTTCACGTGGTCATTAAAGATCCTATAGCACTATTCAAAAAGAGAAAGAAGTTTTCTCATGAACACCCCGGATAAAATAGGTCATTTAATTTGTGTCTGTTTGTGGGAAACTGCTGCATTTAAATTGGCTGCTGCTTACACCTACAAAATAATTCCACCTGGGTTCGATTCCCGGGCAGGGCGAAATGTTGGCCAAGTTTCCATACTCCACATGCATCTGTTTATCTAGCAGTAAGTAGGAACCCGGATGTTAGTCGATTGGTGGATCACTTTTGTGGGATAATAATCCCCTCAAAACAAATGGTCACTCAATCAAATGTAAAAGAGTGCCTGTATCAAGTGCAATTATTATTTACCTTACAAGAGTTATGAGGAAACACTTTCTTTATATCATTAGATGTTCTTTCTTTATTTTTAATTTGACCAAAGTTGTAACCTGATCAAAGTTGCTAAATATTCACTCTGCAACAAAGTCACAATTGGAGATATAATGGTACAATGGCTACTGAATGCAATGACTCATGTTTCCAAGTGTCATTCGTATTGTCATGAAAATAACCCAAGTATTTCTCCATTGTTTCACTGAACATCATCTCTGTGAATGCCT